ATCTGGTTCTGCACCCGGAAGATCTATTTTGTTCAAAACCTGTTACAGAATATCTAGTGTTACTAAACATGCAAGACATTCGGACATTTTATCTTATCATTTTATGACTTGAGAAAAGTGATGAAAATCCAACGTCACACACACACACACACACACACACACACACACACACACATATATATATATATATATGGGTTTATTAATTGAAAAATAGCATCAATAAAGGATAATGTGTATCTCAGTAAACTAAAACAAAAATTAAATATAAGTTAAAAGTGGAATAAAAAAAATAATGTACTTACAGGGATAATTTCTAGGTTGTTCTCCAAAGCCAAATAAACATTAGCTAGGGTTTGTGCTTCAACACCCTGTGATTTGAAAGCAATTTTTTGCAAAAAGCATAAACAAGAATTACTGAAAGATCACTCCCACATGATAAAGGCCATAAAATCAGAGGGGAAAGAAGAGCATAAAAACATAGAGATTCACCTGAGAAGCATCTACTACTAGAAGAGCACCCTCACATGCAGCAAGTGACCGTGAAACCTGATCACAGTTGAATAGTCCCAATGTATTATTGTATTGATTCCGAGGAGGGTTTAACCTCGACCAGAAAAGAAAGAAAAGAAGATAATGTTCATTTCTAACACTTGAACTCAATTGAGTGGGAAGTGTCATTTAGAAAGAACAAATATAAATTCTAAAATGTGATTAATATATAGCGTTTTATTTTCCATTTTAATGAATTTTTAGTTCTCATTGTTAGCTTAAAAACAAATTATTTTCAAAACTCGCCATTTAAGGCAACAAATTCTTGAAACTACTACTTTGATGGACAGAGTTGACAAGACAAGTGGTGCTTAAGTTTCTTTGTTCCATAATCATATAGATGTTGCATGTCATTATGGCTCCTAAATTTGAATAAAGAAAGAAATGAAATGAGACAAGACTGCCGCAGAATAATACAATATAAAGAAGCATATAACAGTCAGGCAGTTAGCATGTATGTATAACTAACTACATTACATACCTCATACGAGAAGTCGACATGACCTGGTGTATCGATTAGATTCAAGCAATAAGGTTCATTTTCAAACACATAACGCATTCGAGCTGCCTGCCATGATAAAATTCAGCCAAAAATACCTTTTCAAATATCTAAACATCGAAAGACAACTTTAAAATCACATTTCCCAATCTCTTACACAAGATTAAGCTAATATAATACGGGATTACGAAATGGTGGAACCTGGAGCTTAATAGTGATGCCTCTTTCTCTCTCCAAGTCCATGTTATCAAGAAACTGGTCCTTCATTTCTCGCTTGTGCACCGTGCCAGTAACCTGAAGCAACTTATCCGCCAACGTCGATTTCCCGTGGTCAATATGCGCAATGATGCAGAAGTTTCTTATATTACGCACCGGCACCTAAAACCAATACAATCCAAACATGTTTACTGCAACGAACGACGGGCAATTTGAGGAAAATACGAGAAAAAGCAATTGACGATACCTTAGAGAGCCGATGCTCGCCGGCTTTGGCGGCGGATTCGAAGTCGGTGCTGGCGACCTGGCACACAACACTGCGGCGAAACGTGGAAGCATTTGGAAAGCCGGAACTAAAGCAGCGTTTGGATGAGTGGAACCTGGTAGTGATTTTTCTTGTTCTGCTTCGTTGAGCATGGATGAACGCGAGTCGCTGGTGGTGTCGTTGTTGCAGTTGCAGTTGCAGTTGCACTTGCAGCTGAGTTTTAGCGGATAAGAATAGAGACGCGCCACATATTTCTGCGGCCATTGAAAGTTTTAGTCTACTGCTCCGTTGCCAATGGAACACCAAACTTAACGTTTGTAAATGTGCGCAGTGGAATTGGGTGGGCTCAGTGGAATTGGGTGGGCTCGATCTGTTTGAACAGGCCCGTTTATATGGGTTTTTGCTTCCTACACCAATGTATTTCCACAACCTGATTGTATCGAAGATTATATAATCCGTAATACATTTTTAAATTTTTAAATTATGTAATCTAAACTACATTTTTTAGTTCTAAATAATAAAATTCGTAATATAGTTTTAGATTACGAAATTCAAAAATATATTTAGAGTTGTACAATTCATATTGTAAATACTTTTTTTAATTTCGGATAAACTTATCAATTGCGCAATTCATAATGTTTGCAAGTCGGAGATAACTTGGTCTTTTTCTACACCTCCCATAGGTATTGTAAGAAAGTATGAATGTTCTTTGACGTGTTTTTTCTCCAAGAACAACTCAATTTGTTCTTTGACGTGTTTTTTCTTTTCTTTTCATACCTCCTTTTATCAAAAGAAATCTTTCTAGATAAATTATTCAAAAATACATTATCAATTTCTTAAGCACGTATCACTACAGAGTTGGTACAAATGAAACTTGATTAAAAGCTTCCAAAGTCTCCCCAACATGTTTTTTTTTTTTTTGCATTATTGTTATTATCATGACAATTGCTGCTTATAGCATTATGATTTGCCACACCAATTTTTGTACCTGTCACAGTGTGATTGTGTTTATGAGTTAAGCTAAGTTGAAGTCTTCGGTGCATGTTAAGAGGAAAAAATTGTTCTACCTTCGCAAAGGACTCCACACGGATACATATCATTCTGTGTGTGGTGTTGATCATGTGTGGGACACCTGCACTACTCTAGGTTTTTTTCATACTTTTTTATGGTTATTTCTATTTTTCAATTTGCAATGTGATTTCTATATTTGAAATCCCTATTACAAACACAACTTTCATCTAAATGTTGTCATTTCCTTAATATTAGGTAGTGAGTTGTATAAAATACATGAAATAAATTTATGTGAATGCTTTCGAAAACTTAGGATTAAAACTATAATTTAGAAAAATGAACCGACATTCACCTACTTCCCCTATCACAACTCAAGAGTTATGCTGGAAAGATTATATCAAGGGTCAGCATCATAGCAGGTGCAATCCAATCGAACTTGTAAAATAGTTAAGCAAAGCATGTTATATGTAGAGTTAAATCAATTGCTCATATATATGTATATAGTATTCATTTTTTTTCTTTGTCTCTTAAATCATTCAACCACATATTAAGGAAGAAAACATGTTATAAATTAGTTTGATGAATCATTTTTAGGCAATCAACCAAACCAAACTAACTAACATGAACCGACTTTGGATGCATGGTTTTGATTGGCAATAGGGTCCATTTTTTCTCGTCAGAAAATGAAAACATAAAAATCTGAACGTCACTTTATGTTAGAAAGATAGTCTTTTGTGCGGCTTCACGCCTCTGATGTGTCTGTGTGCCAACTTATTCCTTTGTGTTGTCAATTGTTTGTTTTGCTGTTGCTGCTGTTTCTGCTGTTTCCTGACCACTTTTGTTCCCACTATATATCATCTCATTTGATTCTTTGTTCTTCACCATCACCAAGAAGGAATTTGCTTGCTGGGATATTCCATATTTCAATGATGTATGAGTAATTAATTGCTTTTATTTCGTTTCCTGTTTCATTCCACATGTTACAAAATGAATCAGATCCACTGGTAGTGATTGTATCTCTGTCACTGCTCACTAGTGCGTGTGTTGTGCTCATGATTATGCTGCAATTTGAAAAAGTTCAAAACAAAACGTTTGTCCAAAAAATATAGTTTCAAATGTATTGTGTTAGAAAATTGTACATTAAGATGATGATATTAAAATTCTGACAAGTCAATATGGCCAACAGTTTATATTTACATATTTTCAACAAAGTAATCTTGTTGTAACTGTTATTCATTATTCACAATTGTATATTAAAAGTCTTATACCAAGTATTAACCTGAGGCAACACTTTCAACTCGATTTTTATATTGGTTGAGCTAAAAGTCAAACCCTTCTGCGAATTATAAACAAGTCAAGTAATGTAAAGTTTAATAACATAATGCAAGAAGCAAAGCTAAGACGAAATGAAAGAAAAATATTAATAATATTGGTTGAGAATCACATGATAAGAAAATAATCTTTTTGAAACGAAAGTATACACATAAATAAAAACAAAAATAGAAACACATCATAAATTTGATGTGGTTCGTTACCTCAAAATTTATATCCACGACTATTTAACAAAAATATTATTTAGTTAAGGATGGATATTGAATATCTTTTTTATTTTTCTGTTATGGATTTTTTTCTTCCCAACTAGACTATTGGCTAATTTCACTCACAGTATTATAATTCTCATTTGAGGAGTGCAAAACAAATCCATGTTCAGGCAGGGGGAATTTTGGTTGATGGGGTTAAATTTATTGCTCTCTTGGGTCTAGTGAAGGTTAGTTTAGTTTTGCAGAAGAAATAAAAGTTTACTATTCCATGCAAGAGACAATCACTCACTCCAACAACAAAATAAGCCCTGCCAGCTTCTGGATCAAAGCAGCCTTCTCTTCTCGACTTTATTCCACTCATCTTGTTCACAAGATCATTAGATCATGTTATGTCAAATAAAACATCTAAACACGAATGACTGCACTTCAATGTTAGTTGTAGTAAAAAAACTATTTGACAAAACCATTAACTGTGCAGACACGGTATCAAGTTTCACTATTTCTCTGTTATTAAAATACAGGGGCAGCACAACATGCATGGATAGCTATTGCTCTCAAATACCAAACAGGTTCACATTACGTGTCCAAATTTATTCCTTTGTCGTGTTGTTTGCTTCTTGGTATTGTTCAAAAGAAGAAAAAAGGACACACCCTTGTATTATTGTCATCCTGCTTTTTTAAACTTGGTTTATATAGAGTGACAAAGAAAGAACATGAGCCATGGAATCACCCAACTCTTTCTTTCTTGTGCTTTTCTCTTCTTTTTATGCTTTATTCACTGCAAAAGCGAAAACACCCATTTGAATGCATACAGTAGAGATAGAGAGAGAGACTGAGACAGAGGGGTCCTCTGTGGGAACTTTTCTTTGTTGTTCAACAGGCAAACCTTCTGTTTTTGATCTAACCAACCAAAAATGTATGTTCACTCAATTCAATTCCTTTATTCATCTTTAACTGTACACCCCCCGGTCAAATATGAATTTCTCCATACCCATTTTTCTATTCACTATATCCCCTTCTCTCCACAACCACAACCAAAAGTCATCAAAAAAGAATACCTCATCACATGCCCTATGATGCATTTTACATGTACAACCAACTATCGTCACAATCTCTCCCCTCAATGAAAAAAAAAAAAAAACAAAACTAAATAAAGCATCCCCTGCCATGTCTATCATCTACCAACACCCCCCACCAGTTTTCACTTTTCATTCCATTTGCAATGGCTATGAGAAAAATTTAGCCATCAATTTTGGCACCAACATCTCTGTTCAAACTTTAAATCGCCAACATTTGCAGCATTCACTGACATGTCCTGATCCTGATGCTAAGGTGTCACCACGCCAAAGCTGGTCCCGTTTCAGTTCCAATTGTCTCTCTCCAAATATATCTATCATTTGTCCTCCACAAAGATTCTATGTATGAAATCCCTAAACCTTTTGGAGTATAGCTTCGGATCAACGGCTGAGATGGAGGAGGGATCCACTTGCAGCGACTTGTATGCATGCTCTAGCTTTTTGCTTATATCATAATCTTGGAGAATGTCAATTATGCCAAAGTATAGGATTACATCAGAGACCTCACCACCACTCTCTGAAGGGATAGAATTGCTACTTCCAGTACCAGTGTGCTGATCCAACCCAGCTTTACACACTCTCTCAGCTCTGGCAGGCATGTTTGTTCCCAGTCGAATTAGAAGTCCCCTGAAATACCAAGAATCACCATAATTTACTGAAATACTAGAATTAGAATTCAAATCAAATATTTGCATAATTGGTATGTAAACCAACCATCAGGAAGGGAGAACCCACAAATTTGTACATTAATTTGGTTAATAAGGAATTTTATAGTTCAGTTGATTAGATAAAATCTTAAAAGTAGAAACAAAATCAAAAACAAAAATACTTGTATATACTAGCAAATAATGGTCACATTTTTATGTTATATATACATACATAATATATATCTCCCGAGCTTCAAAATTCCTTACAGCAACCACTGCTTTATGAATATCACAATCGCAATCGCGAGTCAACTAACAACTAGCTTTGCAAAGAAGGGTTTGCCCTTCTTAGAAAAATCAGAAGACCCCACCAGCATTTGTTGTCAATAAAACTACCTCCAATTTTGCCAATGATAACTCAAGTCATTTTCGGTCCATCTCCACCAACGGAATCATATTCCAAAATGGAGATAACTAGCAAGTTACCTGCTCCTAAATCACCAATGGAGGGGCTAATTCATTTGCAATTACTTTGTTTCTACATGCGTATGGGCCATATTGATAGTTTAAGACGTAAGCATTTTGCTTTTGTTTGTTTTATGACTGGGTCCAGACAGACTAAGGCTCGAAGAACATGGCACATGCATGCAAAATTAGTCATAGAAGTGAAAGCTATGGCTATCAATGGGTGTAAGTATCAAGAGACTAATACAGGTATAACCCCACTAAGCCATCTATGGTCATAAAATATTGCAACTTAGAATGGTCCTTCTTTTCCCGAAGCAAATATCATTAATTGACTTGGAATAGTCCATCTTCAAGAAATGAGGGGTTGGATTGGAAGTCACATGACCGCTCAAGCTAATAATAGAACTGCACATAGATCTCTAAAATCCCTAAATATTTTCCTTGTTTTGGGAATATAAATGAAAAATTCAAGGAAGACAATAATTTCTGTTTATTTCCATAACTTCATAGGAATTTATTCGTCATGATGAAACAACAAAAACAGTCAGGTACTGTGGCTAAAGGGTAGAGGGCATACCGGCCTATGGGTATCCACTTCATATCTTGTGTGTCATCATTTTGCATGTCTCTCTTGCCTGTTATACCTATAAATTCCAAAAAAAAAATTACTTCTCGGACTCAATCAATTAATTCAAATGAAGAGAAACACAGAACAACGAGGAAGTAACCTGAACACAACTCATTGGTTAAACTCTTCCCGTCATCAACTAAGCTATCATCACGGAAATGAAGGCCAATCAAAAAACTGTAATCCATTATTCCCTCTGCTTCCAAGAATTCACAGTCTCTATCAAGTTGCCTGAACAGAAGTCATCACACGAGACCAAAATTGAGAGCATAAAAAATTTTCAAAGTAAAAGCAATATGTAAAACACTGGAAGCAGATTCTATACCATTTTAGCTCTTGAAACCAAGACTGTTCCAGGCGGAAGACAAAACAAAGATCAAGGTCTTTAAGAGTGGTAGTCTCATCAATCTCCTCCCGAGGTTTATCGGTTGTTCGACCATGAGAAGAACCTTTGAGGTCAAACCGCCTATGGATCCGATACTCCGAACAAAATACATTGGCCATCACAATAAACCGAGTCTGTTATCCACAATATGATTTACAAGTGTGAATATAGTTGTAAGTTGTTACAAGTATACACTCACAGTAAACCAGCGGAAAGCAAAGTTCAAATAAGGTAAGTTCATACGTACCTTTTGACCTCCAATTGGTTTGACACAGTGAACCCCCAAAAATTTTGTTACCAGCGAATTCTTGTACTGACAGACATGTTGGTAGTAACTGGGAAGCATCCTGATGAGCACCTGAAACGGCCACCAACTAATTATTGAATGGTGAATAACCACAGAAAAATGGACGGTGGCCTAGAACTGAAAGTGAGACCTCACCGTACTAAATATAGGTTTTATGGTTTTCTTTCTCATAGAAAATGAATGCATCTTAAAGTGTAGTTAAGGCTGGCAACTAACCTTGACTTCAGACTTCTTCAAGGTTTTGATAATGAACCGGTCGTCCTCAGTGAGGTAAAAGAAGCTTCCACTTTTGCCAGGAGAAGACATCTCCCTCAGTGTGTCATTGCCGCAAATAGCAAGCATGTAATCCGCAGGATCTATTCCAAATAATTCCCTTAGATGTCTAAATGCCCACCAAGACATAGCCATAATTAGTACAACACCAATCCAACAAAGTTCACAGAAAATGAAAAATCATGTCCATTAGTCGATACCTGAACACCATAGGACAATAATCTTTCCACCTGAAGTCCACAGATTGATGAGGAGGTGTAAACTTAGACCCCTCCGGAGGGAACCTCGTCCAGAACTTCTCCTTCGGATCAAAATCCCCAGGCCTAAGCTCTCGCAAACCAGAAGCATGCTTTCCAACAGAGTATCTACACAAGAACAATTCAGTCCTCAAAGGGATGTATCTAGTTAAATTAAACAACTAATATAGGTAAAATCAAGTAAAATACCTAATACCCAGTTGAAGATTGAGCATCAAATCATAATTCTTATGCCCTTTGGAAACAGTATGACCAGGCTTCTTAACGTCCCCATCAACAGAACGACAAGGACTCCTCTGCAACTGCACATCACTCTCACACCCTGTGCCTCCTTCACCACCACCACTACCATAAAACACAGAAGCCTCCACAATGTCACAAGTGATATCCCCAGCCTCGCCATCAAGCTCCCAAATGCAAATCCGGGGAAAACTCACACTCTTTATGTTGTGGTTCTTGTTACAACACTCATCCACCGACACACGTTTCTCATTGACAAACTCCTTCCCCCAATTCCCAGAGGAGGTGCTCCCATCGCGCCATGTGAAGACGCCTCTCCCTTTGGGAACCCCGTTCTCCCAACACCCCTCGTAACGGTTCCCGTTCTTCCACACCAGCACGCCCTTCCCGGAGATGGCGCCATTCTTCCACTCCCCGACGTACTCATTCCCGTTGCGCCAAGTGTACCTCCCCTCCCCCTCTTGCAGGTTGCACCGCCACCACCCCTCGTATACGTCGCCGTTCGCGTACCGCTTCTCCCCAAACCCGTGCTTCCTGTCCGAGAGCCACGCATCGCGATACATATCCCCGTCGACGCCGACGAAGGTCTCGGGGCCGTGCATCCTCCCGGCGGCAAACTCGCCCTTGTAGGTTGCGCCAGAGGGCAAGGAGAATCGCCCCTTGCTGCACGCCTTTCCCTTCCTCCACCCTCCCTCGTACATGCACCCGTTCAACCAGAGGTACTTCCCACTGCCGAGCAGCGCGTTTCTCGAGAGGCTGCCGCTGTAGATGTATCCGTTCGGGAGTGCCCTCTCCACAGTCTCGGGAGACACCCGGCGCGTCCTCGTTGGACGGCGACACAACGGCGGTGGCAGTAGGAGCTCGATGTCCTTTGTGGTTGCGTTGTTGTCCTCTTGTTGCTCCGACAGTGTGAGTAGCGTCTCTTGCATTTTTCCTAAGCTCCTGAAGACAGCGTCACATTTGAAAAGCCGTTGCGAACTCTCTAACGGTAATAATGGTGTTCCTGCTGTGAGCAATGGAAGAGATTATCCACAGAGAAAGAGAGAGAAGAGAAGTGAGTTACAGTGCCTTGGGAAAAGAGATATAATAACCGGACAAGAAACGTAGAGAGAGAAAGTGGTTATAGTTATAGTTATGGTTAATTTCCAGGAACATTGCCATAGCAGGCGCCAAAAGCACCACTCTGTTCCTCTTCCTCACTTTAATTTCCATACTAAACATCTGCATTAGCTTTTCTGTTGTTTTGGATTTCCTTTACGTATGGCTTGCACCTTAATTTCGTAAAGGAGTTAATGTTTTGTTTAAGAATACAATTCTTTTCATAAGTAAAAAAAAAACAGTGAACAGATTTTTTTGACAAAACAGAACATATTTATTGTTTTTTCATTAAATTTAGAATATGTCAGAGAATGTCATTAAGTAACAAAATAAAGAATGAATTAATAAAAAAAATAATACGTGTATAGTGTGAAAATATTATAAAAAAAAACTGTGTCGAAATGTTTTTTTTAAAAAAAAAAACTAACTTACTTTTGCAAGGGGGCAAATTCCAAGATGAAGGGGGCCGATCCAATTTGAGAAACATTGTGAACAAATCTCAGTGTTAATATAACATTATTAATAACAATAGTTAACTGTTTGAATTAGAAACACTGAAATAGTTGGCGTCACGCATAATAATCCCACCCACCCTTACCTTAACCATGTTTTTGTGAACTTTGATGTAAAAAAATGGTGGCACGATGAAATTAGGAGAAGCACCAAGTGGTGGGGCTGGTGAAAGCGATAGAATGAATGAAATACGAAAGTAGCATATGTTACGTGACTTTGCGTCATGTTACCATCCCTATATCATATGCAGCATTTACTATTTTATGAACAAACAATGTGATTCTTAGCTAGGTTCTGCATCACACCAAATGACATGCATTTTCATGACCTACGTGGGTATTATGTGTATCCTTTTGAAAAGTGTGAAATGTGAAAGAATGTTATTACACTTGTTTTCATGCTAGTAACAACTTATAAATGTGCGTTTTGATATTTATTATTATGTGAAGTGAAGCATATTGAGTTATTAGAGAAATAGGAAAAAGTTGTGTGTTGGTTTGATTTTAAGAAATTATAACAAAACATATCTGAGATCTTCCATATTTGTTGCAATGATTTCTGGGCCACAACACAAGGTGGCCTCAAACTCAAGAAAACGAATTATGATATCAACCAAACATGACCTAATGGAATATGCATTGCGCTTTTACTTTGGAAATAAAATAATGTCATCAACTAAGCACATTTTTGCTTAATCAATACTTGGATTGGAGGGGACAGTTGACGACATAGCATGTCTTCTTAAATGTATTCCACCATTGCTTCACTTTTTATCCATTAATCGATTATTGAACAATATTCTATGTTTTGTTTATAAACAATTTTTTATTTTAGAGTATGTGATGACTTTTAGGTGAGAGACTCTAACGTATGTATTTTATCAAATAATACAACTTATTTAATTTAATGCAAGGCAAAATCATTTAATTAAAAATAAAACCAAAAGTAGTTATACAAAATTACTTATTATTATACAAGTCTAACTTCTCTTTCTAATTTTGGAGGTCTTTATTTGTGCATAATCGTCTCAAATAGGTTATCGTATTATTTTTTATCTCAATTAGATTCCTGTTTTTGTAAAATTGAGTTAATTGGAATCTTGCCGTCAATTTCAGTAAACGACGTTAAATTTGTTGTGCCGCATGCTGACTGCATAATTATTTGTCATGTGGCAACCTGAGTTCGCATTAGGTGGAATTTATTTATTTTAACATTTAAATAAGTTAAATTTATTTCCTGAAGATGGCGCCATTCTTCCACTTCCGGACATACTCATTCCCTCCCCCTCCTATAGGTTGCATCGCCACCAACCCTCGTACACGTTGTTGTTCCATATCACTTCTCCCCGAACATGTGCTTCCTGTCTGAGAGCCACACATCGTGATACATATCCCCGTCAACGCCAACGAAGGTCTCGGAGTCGTGCATCCTCCCGACAACAAACAGCACAGCCCAATACAAACCAAACTTCTGTCAATCCAAACCAAGCCCACAAGGACTCCACCAGGGTCAGAATGGAGCAACTCCGTTGCCAACCACCACACGAAACAGGTTGCCTGCCATTGCAACCACCGTGATATCATTCGCATCCCAACATTGCCAGAATTGGACTAGAGTTCACCAACATCAATGACTGTCAAAATTGGAAACCCTTTCTCCCACGGTCTCACCCAACATCACGAGACACAAAAAGAGAAACAAGAACCAACCCTAATCGCAAAAAAACTCAAAAAACCCAAAATTGCATGAACAGATTCCAAAACCCCCAAAATTCCCAAAAAAACCTTAATCTCAAAGTCGCAATGGCAATGACGTATGTGGATGAGGATGACTATTTTGGCTCTGTTGAAGACATGCATACATTGGATGGACACAAGCGTCATCAGCTTGTTGTGCCGTCTAGTTCTTGTGGTCGGAAGTGGAGCCGCAAGGCTAACGGCGATGCTATTGTGGAACAGGGACAATGGCAGGATCGGGAAATGGCATCGGAATCCTTGTTCTGCTTAGAATCCTGATGCCTCCAAAACCACCGGTAGCTTTGTGAAACGCAAGAGATGGAAAGTAATAAAAGCTTCCAATTTGATCCTTCACTTGAAGAATTTGAAGAATGTAAGTGAAATTCTTCCCTGGTGGAATTAGGCATGTTGTTCCAAAACCACCATCTTCGAACAAGTTTCTTCTCTTATGAATCCTGTTCCTACATCATTATTTTTGCTATTTATTTCTTAAACAAAAATTTTTGTTTTCTCCTTTACAATTTAACAACGATGAGATGAGGTTGTCATGGTTTCAATCAAATCCCAAATTTCTTTTATTTAAAAATTACAAACCCCCTATCATTAATATTCTAAGTGTGCCACATGTATAACAATGCATAATGAGCATGCCATGACACAACAAATTTAACGTCGTTTACTGAAATTGACGACAAGGTTCCAATTGACTCAATTTTACAAGAATAGGGACCTAATTGAGATAAAAAAATACGAAAACTTATTTGAGACAATTATGTACAAATAGGTACCTCCGAAATGATTAAATCTTCTAAATATTTTTGTTAATGTTAGTTAAAGAAAAAAAGCTTATTTACTTAAAGTCAACCCATATTTAATCTCATATATGTCTTTCTTATTTTGGTAATGTATTTTGAATTTTTTGAAATTGAAGATGCATAACATCATAATATTCTTAATATGGTACACACTAACATGATGATATTGAATGTTTACAAATAATTTGTCTCTTATAAGGAGTTTCATAACATTTTTTCTATAAAGAATCAATCTCGAATTTTAGAAATTAATTATTTCTTTAACTCTTTTAAAAATAATTATTCAACAAATTTTTTTAAAATAACATATACTATATTAAATTCATCCAACAAAATGTTAATTTATTATTTATTTATACTTCTCATTAATAATATGCCCATAATTAGAACTACACAATTAGATAAAGAAGATAGCTTACCAAACACTTTGTTACATAAAGTTACAGATTCGTGGTACATGACTAGTCTTCGGGATGGGGCCAAGGAAGAAACTAATCGATCATTTCCACTACAGTCACTTTGTTTGGTGTCATTATGGACTTGTGTCAAGAGGTTATTCTTTTAGGACTTAGAGTGCAGTACAAACAAAACTTAGGTCGATTAGCCTCATAAAAAAAACATAAGTTCACTCGTCTCTATTATTCCCACTTTGAAGTACCCGGTCTTGAACCCTTTGAAGGAGGTGATGTACAAAGAAAATAACCACCTCCCCTTTCTGAATATCAAAGAGACCCAACCCTTCTTGGGATTTAGGTGGGTACAAAAGTAATGTAGAAAGATGAGGGGAGTTTGAGTGATGTTGGGGGTCGAGTAGAGCACCCTAAAGGCCTATATCCAAGCTCAATTGTTCGAGTGCAGCTACGTGAGTGCCACATTTAGCTCTTGTAGTATGCCCATCTGGAATTCATTGAAAGGAAGACAAGTTAGTAAATATTGAAAGAGAGAGACATCATGTAGAAGATGATAACACTCCTTCTAACTAGGTTAGGCCAAAACTAAAAGAAATGCCATGAAGATGGTTGAAATAGTGATGAGGTGCGAAATTTGGTGAGGGAAAAGGCTAATGCTCTCGGCTAAAGGTGATATAAGGTGGAAAGGAGTGGTGTTTGATGATGCTCAAAGAGAGGTTAGGCCAACTCTATGATAAAGGTGACTAGAGGAGACCAATTGGGATGCTCTAGCCTTGGATGACCTAAGATCAGTAGTATGTCTCAAAAAGGACAACATACCATCACTCAAACCCAAAGTTAATTACAAGAGTGTGAGACACCTCTATTTATAGGTTAAGAGTGTCTCCAATTTATAAAAGCAAAACCCAAAAACTCAAACTTGGTTAGGTTGGAGAGCAAGGTGAAAATATTCTCCAGCAGAAAGAGGACATGTGGCCAAAATCCTCTCCATTTGGAGGAAGACATGTGGCCACTACCTATGGGAAATCCTCTCCAATGTGAGAGTGACACATGGCCTCTAAGACATAGGTGGGACGCCTACTCCCTTGCTCACCAAGCTAGCTCGAAAATGTTGAACCCATTGGTCAAACAAGCTTGGACGTCCACTTGGGTCAACATTTGCTGACTTAAGTGGTCAAAAACCGTATTCTACTTGGCCCAAAAATAAATCCTACACTACTAGTCCTATAATACAAAGCCCAAAATTATTCTACTTTATGATGGCCCAAGAGAAGAAGAGCTTGACTTCACCTTCCATGGATGACTCTTCTTGGATTTTCTTGGTCATGCTTCTTGGTGATTGGACCCTTGGCTAGGAGTTTTCCATTAGAAGAAGTGCATAGGACAACTCTACTTCCCATGAAATACCCATTCATTCCCCTTGTAAATGATTTGGCTGAACATCTTGGCACTTTGATCGACCTCAACAAGGTTTGTCCTCCTAACCCAATCCATCAACACATGTCCCTAACAAAAATAAGTTATGTATTCCTCAACATCGCTAGAGGCCTAGTCATAACCCAGGACGATTAGGAGAGAACAAGTGGG